CAGCCAATCAGAATCCATCCTGCTGTAACGAGCTCGAGAATTTAAAGTGGCAGATGCATGTGTGATTATAATAAACAGACGATATCGTTCGCTGGTGTGGACGCTTATATCGTTATCTTTATAGTTATCGTTCTTGGTGTGAACGGGGCTTAAGATAGTTTACCATGTTCATAGTACTTTGTCTAATTTTCACTCACTTTTGTACTTTTCCATATAAAATGACCAATCCGTGTAGCATGATAAGTTTAGCTTCACTGTAGGTCTACTTACACCTCTGCTTGATAGTAATGCAAATGCTAATACACAGTGTTTGGTATAATAATGATAGTGACTTCAAAACACCACAGTGCAGTTTTAGCATATTTAGCACCTGCTTAAACAGGACTGCGGTTGGTTAGTGGAATTATTATTATTCATTTTTTTTCCACTGAGATACTATTGCTCAACTATTTAGTAAATTCTCCACTGAGGCCATATGTAAACTTAGTGAACTATCTACCTAAACAGTATTTCATAGATGGGCCTTAGTGCTGTCTAAATGGGTTTCGATATATAGCATGCAAATGCCACATGATACGCTAATATTTGCAGTATTAATAGTGGCTGATTGACCTGAAAACCTGTAACGGATACTGTTACTGCATATAGGATATCCAGTGCTTGTATTACAACTTATTATTGAACTACTCAATTCCAAACAGCTGCTTTAATACAGAACAGCGCTGTTAGCTCTGTGCAGTTCAAAGCTGACTAGATATATTACAGCTGTCCTACATTAGCATGGGCCCTTCCCAACTTCATAGACCACAGACAATAAATAGGATGGAAAACTAGCAACCAGAAGATCTTACACCCGGTTATTACACACATGAGAAGGCACACAGCTGAATTCATGCTGACGTAAGACAGGATAGCATAGCTTACTCAGATGCTATACACCAAAGTTGTGTATTCTATAGAAAAGGACTTGTTGAAATATTAGCGTATGGCATCCGTTTGGGCTGTGTGTCATCGCCAAAGGCAATAACTTGTGGAAAAGCTGTTCTAAAGAATGAAGAAACCTCTAATGCACAGCTCATGAAGAACGGATATTGCTAGCTCATTAGGTGCTGAGTTTCATAACCTTCTGAGCAAACAAATGAGCTAATCCAATATAGCAGATTAATTTAATTGGAGCTTTGCTCCTCACAGGGGGATATGTGTGTGGTTTCTATGGGAAAATAAGCAGAGACCTCTTTGGTCTTGAGCTGGGTAAATATTTTTCTCTAACTTTTTTCTGGTTTGGATTCATTTAGCCGCTAATTATTGTGAGAAATGTGGGTGAGTGCAGTGACAGGCCCACCGCTCTAAACTGTAAGACCAATGTTCTCGCTAACACATCTGTTTGGAGAGTCTGATGTTCTTTGTAGCTTATTTGAAGCAGTTTGTCTGTGCCATAATCAAAGTACTTTATGAGGTGACTTGTTTGTTGTGGTCTTTCTTTTGTGTATGAACTCTTTTTAGGAAAAACAGGACTTGATTATATCAGTATTTGATTGGATTGTGTGTGGGTGAAACGTGGTAGGCTATGCTAATATTAGAGGCGCTTGTTGAGGCAATTTGAATTAACAATTGCTCATACTTGTGCTAAAGCTCACTGAAGTATCTATAGAAAGTTTGAATCTTGACAAGTATCTGCACTATTTTTGTCTAGAAATGATTAGTGATAAAACTGTATTTCTACTTGTTTAAACTAAAGTTGCGTGTATTTCTTAAAGGGACAGTTCACCCAAAAAATTATAATTCTGTCATTAATTACTAGTCCTCTATGTTTGTTCCAAACCCGTAAGACCTTCGTTCATCTTCAGAACACAAGAGCACAGAGCTTTCTGACCTTCCATAGACAGCAAGGGAACTGAAATGTTAAAGGCTCAGAAGGTAGTAAGGACAATGTTAAAATAATCCATGTGACAACAGTGCTATTCTCGTGAACACACGTCAAAGACTGACAAGGAAGAGAAGAAATTGTTGAATAAAGTTGTTATTTTTGTTTTCTTTGTGCACAAAAAGTATTCTTCGTAGCTTCATAAAATTTAACCACTGATGTTACATGGACTATTTTAATGCTGTCCTTACTACCTTTCTGGGCCTTGGACGTGGTAATCTCATTGCTGTCTATGGAGGGACAGAAAGCTCTCGATTTCATTGAAAATATCATAATTTGTCTTCCGAATGAAGATGAACCTTACTGGTTTGGAACGACATGAGGGTGAGCAAATAATGACAGTATTTTAATTTTTGGGTGAACTATCCCTTTAACAACCTCAAACAATTCCTTATCATTTACAGGCGTATTTTAGTTGATAGTTTTAGTCTCCAAAAGTTTGTTGTTCTGTCTCCTTTTTAGGAGTTTCTTAAGTTTTGACTTATTATTTTTGCCTGGCAAATTGAAAAAATCATACGTTGATAGTCTAGAATCTAGCAACCCCACCTCTTAAAACACTAGCAACATGCTAGCAACCCTAAATATAATTAGTTTTAATCAGTACTGACTGTACCAAGACAGGGTTGTAGTTGTTGTTGTTCCATCTTTTTTAAGGAGTTTCTTGAGTCTAGACTTGACTTGGCCCAGTACACTATCACCTAGAAATGTCCTAGCAATCATCCAGAACACCTGAGCATCCACCTAGCATAGTGCTAGCAACACTAAATCTAATTAATATAGTTAATTTAATTCATTCAATACTGACTGTACCAAAACTGGGAACATTTATTAAGACGTTCAATAGGGCCGCTTTTAATTGAACTAATAGCTATTCAAAATGGATATCTGAAGCCACTGATAGATCTCATCAAAAATGCAATACGCTCAAAATGAAGTGTGTCATGGAAATATTCATACTTCCTTTGAGTATCTGCAGAGAAATAAAGAAAATGAGCAGCCATTTCAACAGTCATGCTATAGTAAATTTCCATAAAAATGTCTGTTCGTTATGATCAGTCTTAAGGTTGGCTGTATGTTTATTGAAACACGTCGAGCAGATTGTTTCTTCTTTAATTATGCGCATATAAAGCACATTTGGTGAAGAAAGAAAGAACAAGCCAGTAAAAATTACAGTATTCACAGACAGCTCATTCTTCTTTTAAATAAGCCACATAATCCGCTCCTCTCATGTAATAAATACTCGCAAATCTCATCTCCATCGTACCTGTCGTCCAAATGCATTTATGCACGACAGCTAAAAGCACAAACCAACAAACAAGTCTATTTCATGTCGGTTCCTGACAAAGTGCTTCCACCTTGCAAAGTGAGCCGTGTGTTCGGATGCAGCATGAGGTGTCTGGGGTCATTATTTATTCACTTAGATTAGCTGTGGTGAAAACAGCGGGCCAATTCTCCCACAAGCATTCATTTATTGATGCGCAAGCACACGGCTGCATTATTCTGCCCTCCCGCTGCACTTTATATACCCCCCACTGTTAACCCTTTGATCCGTCTTTCTGACTGTCTGTCTCAAGGACGCTCGTGCTGGAAATAGCTTCTGTGTGATAATCCAGCAATTGGTAAAAAAAAAAAAAAAAAAGGATTTTGCATAAATTGATGGATGTGTGACATTTATTCTTCATAATATGGAAATTTTCAAGTTAAAAAAGGTGTTGCCCTTGATGAAAAGTTCCTTTATTTCAGTCAATATTTTGTCATGTCGAATAATTTCATGCTATTAAATTTTAATTGTAAAAAGAGTAGTGTATATATACTGTATATATGTGTGTGTGTGTGTCATATCATCATGTGTCATATTGTGCATTTTGGAAATTTTAATTGTGGGCTTTAAAATTGGGTTCTTGTCATTTGGCCCAAAAATAACCACCTAGCAACACCCTAGAAACCACATTCTAGCATTCTAAATATGATATCATATTACGTTTTATGTTAACTTTGGACCTTTTAAGTTTTGGCTTTAAAATTGGGCTCATTTGACTTGGACCAGAAAGTAAACACCTAGCAACACCGTAGCAACCACATGGCAACATTCTAGATATGATACATATCATATTAAGTCTATGCAAACTTTAGACTTTATAATTGTTGGCTTTTAAAATTGGGCTCATTTGACTTGGACCAGAAAGTCCAAGCAACCACATGGCAACATTCTAGATATGATACATTACATATCATATTAAGTTTATGCAAACTTTGGGCCTTTTAATTGTTGGAATTTGAGCCCACTTGTTTACAACTATCATTGCAAGTTTTGTAGAGGCAACCAACAGTATTATGTTATTGTCCATTTACTTCTGTTACTTTTGCTCATTAGAGTCGATTAAATCCCTGCAGCTCTGCATGTTTGTAATCTATCCACCGTACCACCCAGTCATATCTGTATTTAAAGTTCACACTTTGTGCTTAATCAAAGTCTTAACCTATCTGCCCTGCCTGAGCTTGACCCATTGATCTTATAGGCTGCTGAACATGGCACTCTGACAGTCGCCATGGCAACCAATGTTGAGATGTCCCCCCGAAGAGTGATGACCTAGCGAGACCTTTTCCTCAAGTTTGTTTCCTCATCAACATCCTTCATTGAATAGCATTGTCAGGGATCCATAAAATAGTTTTATTGTCAACCTGTCTGAATCTATTGTGCTTTCTCGAATACTGTTTAGTAGGTCAGCATGTTGTGTTGCTTGCCTTTGTTGCACCAACTTGGCCTTTGTTGAAGGACGCCCTCCATTTGCCTCCGTTAACGTCTCTAATAAAAGGGCACAGGGTCAATACCTATATTTGCAGCACAGTTGTGTCTGCAGGCTTCACCGCAGGCTTCATAATGAATCATTTATGTGGGTGAAATGGCTGTCTGAACATCTGATCAATCCTTGGGCCTGTTTCTAATAGACAAGCCTTGAGCATTCCCTGCATTTTTAGGAATCCAGACCTCAAAATTGGGAGATCATTATCATCAGACCAAAGAGTGCTTGATTTCTGTACTGGTAACTTATCTCTTGCTCTGTTTCTGCTGCAGTTATACAGGTCACGTGGTGGGGAATGGACTGCAAGCCCAGAAACACAACCCAGAGATAAAGATCAGAAGTGTGGATCCAATCCTGGTCAACATGAAGGAAAAGCTAGAGCACTTCAACCAGGTAGGTCTCAAAACACCTGAGGTCAGAACATCCATCCTCCCACATTGAACCAAAACATAGGCTCTTAACCCTAACCCTAACCCTCTAACCTTAAGCTAAACAAAATCATTGTAGTACTGAAGCCAGGTGCATTTTGGTGCAGTTTTTGCAATACGTTTGTCGAGATATTGGGGGCAGCTTTGAGGAATTCATATGAGATGTAATCAACTTTGATTGTGTAGGGTGAACATGCATTGTGCGACTTCTGATAATTAGGAGGTTCTGAGACTTTGAACACATTACAAATCAGTTGAACTGACATGAAGAGTTCCTTGAATTTCCGAAATGACTTAAATGTCCAAAATGTTTAGCTAAGGTTAAAAATTATCGGGAGCTTGTAATACACAATGCAAGCCGCTGCCGTATGATATTTAACAAGTTCCACCTGATTTCCTTTGACGCAAAGTAAATCAAATAAATTTAATTGGGATTAATCAATCAAACTACAAGCTAAAATCATGCATGTACGCCAGTGGTGTGCAGTGGTGTTCTGAAATGAGGAGATCAAGTTTTGTTTGTTTGTTTGTTTTTTAATAAAATGTAAATTCATGTCCCAGTCATATTTTCTTGGTTAAATAAATATTACTTACACTTACACTATTTTATATTTTTACATTAACCGTGTAATCAATATTCTATTTATGAAAGCCAAGTATGAATCTTATCAAGCTTAGTTTTAAGCATTTTACATTTATTCCAAAATAATAACTCAAGCTGCCAACAATTTAAACATATTTTTACTTGTGAACTTATGTTCAGCTATTCTTTTTAATACTTAACTTTTAACTATTTTTAAATTTTTCGGATCATCAGTCATCAAAGTTTGGTAAATATTTGTCACAGGCACTGAGATTTACTTTCAATTTCACGTGACTTTCCCCCATTCATTCTCAATTACCCCCCAGGAAACCCACCTTACGCTTTAGGGGGTCTCTTAAAACTCAATGGGCTCAGGGGAGGCGAGAAAGTCGCGGACTCCAGCTGTAACTTTACCTGCTGGTGTTGCTGTAGGACAATGTTTCTTTAGAAAACGAGTGACATATACTTTTTAATGTTATATTTTGTAATATTTGCGTTGTTTTATTTTTGTACTACAAATTTTTTCTCATCCAATATTTTGAGGAGACACTGCCTCCCTTGCCTCCTCCAAAAAATTGCCCCTGATGTACGCCCATCTTTAGTGACAAGCCTTACGATGAATGTTAAATAAGATCTTAAGATCTGACAGGGTGTGAAATTTTTTGGCGACAGTTCTGCAGTGCAACTTCTTACAACGCTCCTACAACAACCATCTACCGAGGAACCAATGAAGGGTTGTTTGGATTTTTGTGGTAATTTTGCTTGTCAGTGAGGATGTCAAAACACAATTGATAAGTCAGTGCTGTCCGTTATGACTTAAGTTTACTAAGGTGTACCCTATATCCTGAAGTCAAAGACCATTAATGGTCTGTTTCATCTTTTAACCAAGATCTTACCAGAGTCATATTGAACAATCTGACAAAAAGTTAAAAGTACAGCTATGGCTCATGTGCATTTCTTTTTATAAAACGTTCCCTGAATGTTTGCTTTGTGAGCCAAAAAGAAGACATTAAGAACCACCAGAAGCACTAGTTTCAAGCTTGCCCACCAAACAAAAATAGTCCAACTCAACGCCAGCGCACATGTCAAGAGTGGTGAGACGGTGTCATTAGTCCAGGGTTTGCTCTGTGATCAATCTGCAGCAACATCAAACCAAGCATCCTCAGCGGGAGTGTTGAAGACCTCCTTGGTATGATGACAAAGTCTGTCGCTACTGCATCTGCGTTTGGGAGGGTACAGCTCAGTTGGCCCTCTGGAAGCCATTTTGTAATGTCTTTCATTGTTCCATTAAAACCAGACATTTTGGTTCCACATTATGTCCAAACCCAACCCAGCCCTGGCCGTGTTGCTTTGCTGTGAGGACTTGCGTCACTGGCAGGCAAGAAAGCTGGGAAAGTACAGTAGATTTCTGTCAGGGGTTGAGGAGAAGGTCACTTTGAACTGCTTGTGAAATTATACCCATTATTCCCTTAGGTCTTCAAGACCCTGGTGAGGTCTTGGGAGGTTTTTTGCTCTCACAATGACCTGTGGAAGTTTTTAGTGGCTGACTGGTATTTAATTAACCTATGCTGCGTAAAAACCGACAGGTAAAATATGTCATTGGTGTACATCTAATAGTAATACATAACCTTGATGCTCTTGCTGGGGGGGATGTGTTGGAAAATTGACTAAAAACATACAAGCATACTACTCTTGCTATAGGCCGTATGCATCAGAGAAGCAAGTGCGTTGCCAGGGTTTAAATTTGGCCGGGGCCGTCCTGGGTTTGAGCACCGGCACATTGACTCCGGGGCTCGACATTAACGCTTCATTAACGCCAGACAAGTAAGCATCCTGAGGTAAAAAATCTAAATGAAAAGTTTTTATATTTAAAATGCAGTAAGTTTGGCAACATCACACAACGTTTTTACCATTACGACTGTTTAATATTTCAATAACCAGTTCAATAAGCAAGTACAATAATATTAGGTAACTTACATTTTAGGCGGAACCACAGCACATCTCACAGAAACCAGCAGATTCATTGCTGAATGATTCCGTGTTTTGAACGAATCGGTTGAGTCAAAGTTTCGTTAGCCCATGCATAAACATCTGATGAATCAGCCGTTTGAACGAATCGTTTGAATGAACAACTCAGTGACTCACTCATTAAACGCCCATCACAAGATCTCCTAACCGAAGATCACATGATCTTCAAGTGATTTATTATTATTATTATTAGGGCTTCATGTTAATGTTCATTTAATGTTTATGCTAAAAAAGTGCATATAGCTGGCAATTGTATTAGTTGTTTGTTGATTTTCAAATATAAAACTTATTGAAATGTTTTCAGTGTGTGTATCAGTTCTTTTTGAACGTTTTCATCTAATTTGAACAAAACCGTGATAATATTGATAATCGTGATAACTTTGGTCACTATAATCGTGATATGAAATTTTCATACCGTTACATCCCTAGTAACCATCTAAACAATTTTGTCTTTGAACATCCGTTTTTGCGCTATATATTTCTATAGCTGCTGTTGAAGATTAATGAGCTGGTGAAGTGGATTTATTTATTGTAGAGTTAACAAAAGTTATCATGAGCATTGTAATGTTTGATAATGTTATAACAAATGTCAGTAGACCGGGAAGATTTTTTGAAATGAGCGGTTCATTCATAACTTCGTACGACCTTACTTTCATGCCGTGTAAAAGCAAACAGAAGTCCGAAGACAAAGAGTGCTGTGCTGAAAAGGGGCGGAGCTACATAAGGCCAGTTTATGGCAGTAAAAGTATTATACTAGCATGCTATTTTGAATTCAGTATATGAATGCAGACGCTTTTAAGTAAGCTTAAGCTTTTTTTGTGTTTGTTCATAATGCAGCGTAGATTTTATGCATTTCCGCGTAATACCTAGCGGGTATTAGCATAAACTGTTTTCTGTTTTGTTTTTCAGGCTAATTGTTGTCATGCTGGACAATCTTGGATGTTGTACTTGGAAGCAGAAGTCCTGGAGTGCGAGGAACCACCACCCGGGCCACCCGGGCGTTTGTGTCCTTCGCCCGGGACATCCACTGCTGGGGCGCATGGTCAGTGACGAGGGTGAACCGGCGGCCCCACAGGTAATATTTTAACTCCAGGACTGCCCACTTTATGGCCAGGGCCTCTTTCTCCAGGGTGGCGTACCTGGTCTCCGCGGGGGAGAGTTTCCGGCTGATGTAGACTATGGGGTGTTCCTCTCCATCCCGGAGCTGGGAGAGGACTGTCCCTAAACCAGTGCCGGAGGCGTCCGTATATAGGGTGAAGGGGCAGCCGAAGTCTGGGGCATGCAGGACCAGGGAGGACGTCAGGGCCGTCTTGAGGGCCTGGAAGGCGGCTTCGGTCTCGGGAGTCCAGTCTATCTTCTCCGGCTGCCCCTTCTTGGTAAGGTCTGACAGGGAGCAGGCTATAG